GTCAAAGACATTTTACTTATGACATACCATTATTTAATGGAATACCATCTGCTTCCACTGTGTCACTGGCAATGACAATTTTCTACCACAGTGACTTATTGTAGCATAGGTTCTTCTTTTTGCCTTCCAGCTCATTCACTCCACCATGCTACTCCTTGGCCTGTACTACCACAGGTCCTCTCCTCACAGCCCAGTGAGAAACGTGAGGCAGATCAGTTGCAGCAGAGTTTGTACTTGGATGCCCTCGACTACTGCTGACAAGAGAATATAAAATAGAAATGCCTCAGAGAAGCATCACTCCAAAAAAAAAGCCAACAAAAAAAAAAACCCACAAGGAATATAAATGACTCACAGAAATGCCTTTGTTTTCACAAAGGGAAGACAATCCATAGATGGAGTTGAAGTGTGCCAAGAGATATTTTTGACCCTTCCTCAGTACAGCTGCTTAAGTACTCCAAACAGTTTATTAGTATTCACAGAAGGTCAGGAAAGTCAAATCTAGGCATATTTTCCCAAACTACTTGTATTCTTGGCAGCAAAGAGAAGTATGAAGAGAAGAAGCCTTTCTATTCATATGGCTTCCTGAGCAAATCTGGATCCAGGGCATCTTCTTGGCTAGGATGAGAAATCTGATGAAAGATCTCAGCTATTAGAAGTCTGTGTAATTGATAAACTCCGTCCATTTTCCAAGAATCTTTTTGTTGAAATTTGTCAGTGAGGTTGAAAAGGAAACATTTACCAGGAGTTCACTGTAGAAGTATCTGAAATACTGAAATGCAGCCTTAATTTCCAAAGGCAAAGCAACGTCAGTGTTTTCTCATATGGTGGTGTGGGAATCTACAGTAAATGCTGACCCTTGGAACCAGCAGCTTCTTTCTTCCTCTCTGTGGTCTCTGGCCTTCAGAAATACCAGGCTGCATGAACATGAGCACATTTTCCCACACTGCCCTAATTTAAAAACACTTTCATATGGGTATTATTCCTTATGGTCGCTGTCAAATACCAAAAGGCTCATGAAGAATTTTGAAACCTCCATCATATGTATCAAGTATGTGCTAAAATTATTTTCTGCCAGATGCCACAAAATAGCAGGACCTAAACTGCCCCCATTCTTATCAGTTTCTTTTCATTATAAGCAACATTTCAGGAACTACAGCAAATGCCTTCACAAGGCTTAAGTCCAACATGTTAACCATCTCACTGCAGTCATAGAAACAAACTTTAAGGGGATAACTAAAGTCATTATTTTAATTTATTTTTATTTTTTATACTCTTTTTAGAGTTATATCTAAGTTTAATACATGACCTGCAGCCCGTGGATGCTACTGGGCTCATCACCTCTGCTAACACCTGTTCATCAGTGACCAACAGAGCCCTAATCGATGATCCTAACACAGCACTGATAAAACTGCTTTTGCAATTTTTGGAAGAGAGGAATAATTAGCAATGGGTACTTGATATAAAATTAATTCAATGATGCAGTGAAAATGTCATGGCATCACATGAATGGAAAAGCTCAAAATCAAAATTTAGCTTAAACAATGAATACAAAAAGCAGTTTTAACAGAATTACCAGCCTGAGACGGGCAGGGCACCATGACTCACAAGCACAAGCCTGGGAGCTGACTTCTAAGAAAGCTCGTGAATACACTGGTACTTACTTTAGCCATACAAACCTGTAGCATATTGAACACAGCAAAGAATAAATTAAATTCAATAATAAATGTTACTGTTCCTAGAGATGTACAAGGAAAGGGTGGATGTGGCACTGAGGGATGGGGTTAGTGGGCATGCTGGTGTTGGGCTGATGCTCTTTTCCAACCTTAATGATTCTATGATTCTACATGTGGAGGAGATGGTATATATAGCCATAGCAAGCATATGGTTATAGCAGAATTAAGCATATATAAGTAATTCTGAATGGCAAGGCTGTAGAAGTAATATTGCATTATTTGGGTTCATTAAATGCTTTTGGCCTATCATATTATTTACCACGTAGTGCAAAATTAAAAATATCTTCTACACACAATCATCAAGGAAACATATGCTTCCTGATTAAAACACTCTGGACTTTCACTGCGGCCCACTCAGGGACAGCACAGCAATGCAGCATCTCTGCTTCCTGATTTCATCTCGCTTTTTTGTTTTTCCGCAAATTGAAAATGAGAGACGTAGGAAGTGAGGAGAAACTGAAGTTGGAAATGCACAATCTGTTTCTGTGTTTGCTCTGAAGACTAATTCATCCTTACTCACTCTGGACAGACTCAAAACCACAAAATGCCAGGCTCTATTACTACCCCAATAACATCACATAAATTCTACAGCAATCAGCGTCTCACATGGCACAAGCAACTGCAAATAAAGTTTGTGCAAAGCAGATGTTACTATGAAACACATCAAACAAACTGAGAACACACAAAACATTTATCCCATCAGTGCTATTTCACATGCAGAAGTTTTTGGTGTTTTTTTTTTTTCTTTTCCCCCCCCAAAGCCATGGCCTTTGTGATAAAAAAGAGAGGAATGCTGTAGTGTTGCACCGCTGGCTTCAGGCAAACAATCAGTCTGCTCTCAGCTTGAAAAAACTACCCTGGAAAACATCCAGAATGAGCAGCAGCAACACCACACAGAAAAAGCCACCAGGGAAATGGCTTGTTTTTGCAAGTTCATGGGAATTTGAGTTTTGAAACACAATCTTTCCTAGTTCCCTGACATTGCCTCATAAAAGGGAACTGGCAACCTTTCCGATGAGAGGCAGCACAAAGAAGTCCTAAGGACAACTGGGCTGCCTAACTTCTAGGAGGTAAATGTCAACATTTGGGAGTAGCAGAAAATTTTCTGCTTTGGTGAGAAGAGAGCAAATACTCTGGATTTTAGCATTGCTGTTGCTCCAGGAGAAAACCTCTTGTCTAAACTTTAATTTCAAACAGCTTCTCAGCTTGGACTTCAGGAAAATATTCTTCTCAGAAAAAGTGGGCAAGCAATGGAACAGGCTGCCCAGGGATGTGGTGGAGTCACCATCCCTGGAGATGTTCAATAAAAGGGCAGATGTGGCACTGAGAGACGTGGTTAGAGGGCATGGTTGGGATGGGTTGACGGTCGGACTAGATGATCTTAGTGGCCTTTTCCAACCATAACGATTCTATGGTTCTCAACATCCTAGCAAGACAAAAAGAGGAAAAAAAAATCCCCACTTGGTGCATTTTTCATCTAGAACTGGAGAATCAGGTAAGTTGGAAGGGACTCCTGGAGGTGGCTAGTCCCATCTTCTAACGTTGGGCTTGATGCACAGTGAGGTCAGGTTCCTCAGAGCCTTCCTCAGTCAAGGTCTGTAAGTCTCTCACTATGGAAATTCCACAGTCTCCAGATGATCTGCCTCAGTGCATAACCACGTACCCTGGGACACATCTTTCTTGATAAATGATCACATCTTGCCTTTCTGGAAATTCTGACTTTTGTTTCTGTGTTGGCTGTGTATTTCTGAGGAAAGCCAGGTTATTGGGTTCTTGTTCCACTTTTCCACTAGTTTTTTTTTTTTCCTCTTTCCCTTGTGACTCATGACTCTACAAGCAGTCTAAATTTTCAGCAGCACCCAACAATGTTCCTCTTCCCTTCCTGGAAGAGGAATTCCCTTCCCTGACTGCATTTACACACTATCTTCCTGTCTACATTTTTTAGGGCTTCCTTCTCCTCTGTGCCAGCCAACAGTTATCAGTACAACTGCAAACTAAAAAGAGTCAAAAAAAAAAAAAAGAAATGAATTGCCACCTAGTACCCAAACCATACTATTGTGTCCTATCTTCTCCCTGTAGTCCCTACCCAGGCCTATCACTCCTTCCTGCGTAGTCAACTCTACACAGTCAGTTCCTTCTGAGAAGGGCTACATCCTTCTCTAGCTATGTAAATTATTTGGCTACAGATGAGTTCCCAGAGTGAAACACCTCAACAAAGAGGAAAAAAAATTGAAAATGCAGTTTCAGCTTAGGATAGCTTATCCATACAGGCACTCTGAAATAACACTGTCATCACAGTAAAATTGCCTCTCATTTTAACAACTTGTGAATTTTCTTCGAACACAAACATCCAGTAAGAGAATGCAAGGTATTATGAACACAAGTGAAACAAGATGGAAGATAAAACTTAAGAACCTGGCAATGAATCACAACAAATTCAAGAGTGGATTTACATGTTGTTTGAGGCTTATGTTGTCTCAGTAAAACAAATGCTGAACACTTAGAATACCACAAAAGTGGTATAAATATTAGATATGTCTGTACAACATCTCAGTAATGCTTCAAAGTTTAAATATCACCCCTATACCTTGTCTGGAGAAATGAACATATAGGCACTCATTACAAATAAACTAAGAGTGTGAACTCAGACTGGTGTCAAAATCATGTACTCACACTTATTGCAAGATAAATTGTAAGGCAGTCCATCCCCTGCAAAATAACTTTTAGCTAATTACAATGCATTTCTTGCAACTGCACAACCGTGCAAACTGATGCCTAAAGAAAAAAACTTGTGTGCTACCTGTGTTACAAAGTGACTTTCAGCAACACCTCCTCCAAATCTTGTTTGTTCTACTGAAAACGCACAGACACCTAATTCAAGGCATCTACTCTGAAACTGGACGACTGGTTTACTTACAAAAGCATTGCATTTTACCCCAGAACTGTTCACTGCATGTTTGCCTAGGTAGTAACTCTAAACTCCTTCTACCATCCTGCTGGAGAATTGTAGCTAAAACTATAAACAAACATGGAGTTCTTCCTGGCAGAGAAACATGATCCACATTTCCAATCATACGAATTCACTCCCTAATTTAATTTACTCCAACATATAAGGTCCAGATTTAAAAAAAAAAGTACCAACAACCTGGTTTTCTGATTTCAAACTTAACACACACATTTTTAACAGAAAGAAAGTACTGTAATGGAAGATAAAGCAAAAACAATTATTTCTGAGCAAGGAAATGATCTTTTAGAAGAATAACCCTACCTGAGTTGTGCTTTAAGTTCAGTAAATCTGGGTCGTCTACTAGGGTCGTATGCCCAGCACTTGGTCATAAGGCTGTAGAGGGTGGGAGGGCAGTTTGGAGGCATGGGCAGCCGCTCGCCGTTCTCAATCCGACCAATAACATCATTATTTTTCACTCCCTGGAAGGGCTTTACCCCATGCATCAGGATCTCCCACATGCACACACCTATGAAACACACAAAACGATTCATTTTGCCTGCGTGAGCAAAGATAACCTGTCAAAATAAAAGAAAGCAACCCCTTCCCCCACCACCAGCACACAAACTCTTCATTTTAAGAATGCAGAGATTCAATAAGAACGGTGACTTAAATAAAGGACAAAAGCCTTCTTTCAGAGCTGTTATGTTCAGCTATACTACATGCTAGAAATGTATCGGTTCCCAGAGCAGCTGGCTGGATTTGCACGGCCAAACAACACAATTTCATCAAAAAAACAGAGCCAGGGAATCGATCCCTACTTACCAGCTGAGAGCAGAAGGGAGAGATGTGCAGTAAGACTACATACGCACTATCAACCGGAACTGCTGGTGAGGAAGCACGACCCACAGCTGGCTCACAGCAGCCTGGTTTCACATTAGTTACATTCTACCTATTGTAAGTCAGAATGGTTGCTCATATTCAAATCTACCCCCCTTTTTTTTTTTTTTTAATGATGTAGAATGAGCTGTATTTGCTTTTCCTCTGACTAGTTCCAACCGGCTCGTTCAGACTCCTAGGATGTATTTTCACTTTGAGGGTGATTCAGCCCTGGCATTGATCCAATTTGTGTGTGTGTGTGTGTGTGTGTGTGTGTGTGTGTGCTGAAACCATGTAATAAAACAGCTTCTGTTGAAACTATGTTAAAAGCAGAAAACGATCTGTTGGTTTACTATCAGCCAGTACGTTTCAAAGACTTAATTCTTGTAACTGGGACTGTGCTAGAGCTTTCTTCATATTACTAGAAAGATCACATACCCTTTGCTTAAAAGTACTCATATTTCAATTTGCAGAGTGAACCCTTACTCGTCTCTCCTGCTCTTATTTAATGTCTCATCATCTTTGTTCCTTCACACAGCCTATGTTTGTTTTGTCTGTCCACACAAGCAGTCGGTAAGCTCTAGCTTGAGCACAGATGATCATATTCATATAAAAGCCTTTAAATTTAATAAAGAAAGATCAAGGTTTCAGGATATTTCCATTGACCCGTATTTTTATTCAGCTTCTTGTCATATTTTGTATGAGTGCTATGAGATACAGTTTAGTAGCTTAGTGGGTAGGAATAGTGATGGGAAGACAGTTGGACTAGATGATCTTGTTGGTTCCTTCCAACCTTGTGATTCTATGATTCTATGACTGCAAGCTATGAGGAGTTATCAAAGATAAATCAAGTAGGAATTTAGCATTAAAGAGCTGAAAACAGGACAAGATGTAGGCTGATCTAGACCTTATGAAAATAGCAGAAAAAAAATAAATCAAGAAAATAAAAGGTGAAAATATAAAACAAACTGAAAATAACCATGGTATTACAAAAAGAAATAAGAGGAAAAAATAAAAGTTAAAAAAAAAAAAGGGTCTCCATTATGACCTTCATTTCTGTCAGTTTCTTACTAGAGATGAAAAAGCACTTGCAACTTCAGGCTTACTGAGAAAAAGAAAAATACAGACAGAAAAGATGCTGGAAGAAAATGCAATTTTAGAAAGAACAGTAAAAATAGAGGAATATCTGGAAATTATTAATCTCACAGTGATAAAACTGAAGCATCAACCATCAAACAGGACACTAAAAACCCCACCCTTTGGTATTCACCTACCAAACATCCACACATCACTTGCTGAGGTAAACCGTCGGAAGTTGATTGACTCTGGAGCCATCCATTTGATAGGTAACTTTCCCTTGGAAGCTACAAGACAAGAAGGCAGGCCATTATTCCTACTGCTGTGCTCAGACACAGGCTTTGTTCTCAGGGAAATCATTTAAAGGCCAAACTCATCTCCACTCAATAACTATCAAATTTGGTACATGAGATTTCTGCACCATCTAACCATCTGCAGGTCATTTTCTAGAAAGAGGGCAAAAGAGCAGCACTTGGCATAAATATATGGACTGATTAAGCTCCTTCTAATTTTAAGTCGGTTCTTATTTATAGATGCAGATGTTAGGACAGTTCTTATTTATAGATGCAGATGTTAGGAGGCAGTGTTCATTTGCCTGAGGAAGGCCCTACAGAGGGATCTGGACAGGCTGGATTGATGGGTTGAGACCAACTATATGAGTCTTAACAAAATCAAGTGTTGGGTGCTGTACTTTGGTCACAAAAACCCCACGCATCACTACAGGCTTGGGGCAGAGTGGCTGGAAAGCTGTATGGAAGAAAGGGATCTGAAGGTGTTAGGTGACAGCCAGCTGAACACCAGCCATCACTGTGCTCAGGTGGCCAAGAAGGTCAATGGCATCCTGGCTTATATCAGAAATAGTGCAGCCAGCAGGAGCAGGGAGGTGATCATGTACTATACTCAGCACTGGTGATGCCACACCTCGAGTACTGTGTTCAGTTTTGGGCCCCTCACTGTAAGAGACACTGAAGCTCTGAACATGTCCAAAGAAGGACAATGAAACTGTGAAGGATCTGGAGCATAAGTCTTATAAGAGGTGACCAAAGGAATTGGGATTGTTTAGACTGGAGACAAGAAGGCTCAGAGGACACCTTATCGCTCTCTACAACTCCCTGAAAGGAGGTTGTGGTGAGGTGGGGGTTGGCCTCTTCTCCTGGGCAACAGTGATGGAACAAGACCTAATAGACTCAAGTTGCAGAAGGGGAGGTTCAGGTTGGATATTCGGACAAATTTCATCCCAGAAAGAGTGGTGAGGCATTGCAACAGGCTGCCCAGGAAGGTGGTGGAGGACACCATCCCCAGAGGTGTTCAAGAAGAAGGTACATATGGCACTGAGGGACATGCTATAGTGGTCATGGGTTGATGGCTGGTGATCTTAGTGGTCTTTTCCAGACTTAATGGTTCTATGATTCTATGTAACTACTGCAGCTCAGTACGTACAACTACTCAATCTGAAACTGACATGAAAACCTCAGTTACATAGCAGGTATTTTTAAATGGTTAACTGAAAAAAGGGTAGCTTGTTTGGTCTTTCAAAAAACACTCCCAAGAACAGAACAAAATAAAACAGTCACCAATGCCTTTCAAAAATATCATGACAAAAATATTCTTCATCTCTTCTCAGCATTGAAATAAACTCTAAGTACCTCACAGTGATATAAGACAAATGAAATGCAGAAACATGCTGAAGCATAAGGGGACAGATAAAGGATGTTTTAAAATACGTGACTGTTACTTAAACATTTATTAAAGATTCAATTTGTGAAGAGTTACATATTCTGAAGCAGATGTAAAACATGAGTGGTTGCCACCATACATGCCATCTCTGTTCTGCTGTATTTCCATCTATCAGGCACTGATGTACATCTCACAGCTGCTGGAGCTGCTTAAGCTCAATCTTCTGTGCACAATGGGAAAAAAAGTAGCTATGTGCATTCTTTTGTACTGAATTTTGCCACTCCAGTGGCATTTGGGTGAACGCAGCATACAATGACAATGCAAATTCTAACACCTGTTGGCAGTGTTGAAATCACTGCAGCATACTTAGGTTAATACATTCCTATTACCTCAAACAGGCCTCAAATGTGGACAACCTTCTAAAAACCATGAAAAAAATAAAAAATAACAAAATTTTACCCACAAATGTATTTCTACTTTTTGCGAGTTAAATCAGACTCAATGATTCTTCTTTTTGATGCATACGTATAGGAATTTACTGCCAGCTTTTCAATTCTCGAACACTTCATCATTTTACCAAAAGAAAAAAAACAACTGCTAGACCAAGAAAATCTGGTCAATTCTTTTTGACAATTAACTTAGCACAGTGAAAAGCAGTGCCTTGTGAGATGAACCCAGAGTGCCAACTTACCTTTATAGTAAGTACTGTCTTCCATGTATCGGGATAAGCCAAAGTCACCCAGTTTCACACAGTCAGTGGCAGATACCAGCACGTTTCTAGCAGCAATATCTCTGCCAAATAGAGGAGATACTATTTATAGCTGTTTAGAAACTTATGCTGATAAAATACCATTTGAAAAATATTATTAAAGCCCAGAAATATCAATCACCTTTGAAAGGACCAAATCACTCTTCTAGACACAGTTTGGATGTACATACACAGAAAAAAAGACGACTACTACATGTTTGCCTACTGATTCTGAAAAGCTTGCAGAAATACTCTGGTATATTTGATCCTTTTGAGTAAAAACTGTCATCCTAAGGTGTAACTGTCAAGTGACAGAGGAAAAAGTTTTAGTTTTTCATCTGCTAAAGATTTAAAGCCAAAAAAGTTTTGGCAGTTCAAATTAATGGAAAGAAGAAAATCTGTCCTCCGCCACTGGAAAGGTGTGGAAATGCTTTAACATCTCTGTCCTGTAAGAAGCTTCTTAAGGAGCCCAGTTTTAGTGGTACTACAGTGCTTCCAGTGCATATTCCTTTCCTGCAGCTTCGTAGGTGAGAGAAGAAGCCTTATTTGTTTGCTGATTCTGGATTCTGGCACGCTGACAGACTTAAATTTGAGCAGCAACCTGAAGTGATCTACTTCCTCCTATTTCAGTATAATACAACTAAGTTGTCTTTCAAAATTTTACTGCTAGAGTTAAAATGAGCAGCTACTTGGCCAAAATTCAAATATCTGTGACAACTGGAAGGGTCTGTTACTTACAATGCTTATACATTTATGTAAGTATACATAAATATCTAATATGCATGTACACATATATATGTATGCACCTTCAATATATACTACATATCATTTGCACTTAAATGTTTAAACACAGACAGAATGTTCAAGTTCCAAATGCTTCATGATAATCTTGTCAACTGTAATTGCACACAGTACAGGGATAAATTCAGTCTTTTCTCCCTAGGGAGGAATTCAAAGAAAATAAAAATTTGAAACACATGAATATAGAAATATAAGTTCACTTTTTAGCTAAGCAAGCAGTTTTATGTTATAAACATTTTATTTTCCCTGTTCTTTGCTGAAGAAGCCAGCTGCCCCTTGTTTTCCTTCTCTGTGTTTCGAAGATGACAGCTGACAAGCAGTTTGAGAAAATGTTGTAACCACAATGCAACAACTCAGATGGAATTTATTCCTCTGATTAAAATGAGGCACCATCTCCAAGTCAATCTAGGAGTGAGCCAGCAGGTGTCACTCTTGAAAAGGGGGTTATTTTGCTATCAGTCTAAAAAAAGCTGTACTAACACGAAGATGGGCATAAAACGTGAATGTATTGCTGCTACCTATTCATCATAAGCCAAGAAAAATAAACAGGAAAGTTAAGCTTAAAATATAAAACCATATGTATCTTAAGCATGCATCTTCACTCAAGTGTATCCAGCACCCAGAATACTCCCAGCCAGCAATCTGGTAATCTTGCACATTAATCCCCTGATGTTTCAACTAGACAAGTATAAGAACAGACAAATACACATAGACATAAAGTCTTACCTATGTACAAATCTTTTGCTCTCTAAGTAAGCAAGTGCTGTGCTAAGCTGGTAAGCGTAGAGGATCAGGGAGGCCAGGTCCAAGCTGAATTTTCTTACTTGCAAAAATGATCTCAACTTTTTGCATAAAGAAGAAAAAAATGAAAGTGGTCAGGATGGAAGATAACAGATTCAAACAAACTGCATCTCAAACTGTCGGGTTTACAGAAGTGTCAACAGGTCTGCCTTTGTTACACACTGCACAAGAACAGAAAACCATTTGTCATGAAAAACCAGAACTCTGCACAAAACCAAGCAATTTTTTGCATGAAAAATGTTATCTAAACCAAGTAAACCTTTTTCTATTGCATTCAGGCTCCTTCTGAAGGCTGAGTGCATGTGCTACTGCTGTTCTAGAGACACCTGGTCCTATGAGCTCTTCCACTAAGTGTGCTTGTTTCTTTCTTGAGTTCAGGGGACAGCAGTATACAGCAAAACAGAATACAGGTAACAGCTGTATTGTTTGAGAAGAATGCATTTTCTTACTTTATATTTGCTAACATATATGCACTTCTCTCAGAGCACTTGCTATCAATGTAGAAATTTTATAAACTATGTTCCTAGTTAAATGCAGTTAGGATCTAATAGAAAGTGCCACTAGATGCTGTGTATAAATTAAAACAAAGATTTAAAAGTAATTTGGACAACAGAAAATAGATTTATAATCTCATGAGAGAAAATGACTCCTCTATGGTTTCTATTTTTTATTGTCTTTGTTTTTTGTTTTTTTGTTTTTTATTTTTTGGAACAACGAATTGCAGGTTGGTAATTAAAATTACAGTCTTACAGTATGAAATATATGAAATATTACTTCAGTTCAAATTTTCAGATATGCACAGAGGAAACAAATAAATTTTAAAATCTGAGATCTAGTTTGGTATTAACCATTCATCCAAATGACAGGAGAATGAGGAAAGCCATCTGAATGAGGGTCTCTGTACAAAAGAAGAAACATCATAAATTCAGAGCTCCAAGGGACAAAGAACAAATATTACTCAGGAAGCTTCCAAAAAGTGAAAAATAATAGTTTGTAACTACTGTCAGTAAAATGTCATGAGCCATGTTAGTCTATGAACAGCAAACCCACCCATTTTCTTGTGCCAAGTTCACTTTTCGAGGAGGAACTACTGAAGACTGGGCAAGTAATTTGGATGGCTTTATGCATCCACTTCTACCTTTCCCACAAACTCTCCCTGCTATCATCTCCTTCAATTGCTGCCTTCACAGCACAAGCCTCTTCTGCCACCTTAAAGGAACGGAGGAGGTATCAAATCATAATTTCCCTTCCAGAACACGAGCTTGCAAATGCTGTTCAAATGCTATCTCACTGTCATCATCTGACTTGACACAGGTCATGCTCTCATCCTGCAAAAACAACCAAAGTTCTGAAAATTATGACTAAATCACTTCGGTATGAGTTGATGCAGATCCCTTACTGGAGGAGTTAGGTCAAATTTTGCCATTGCTGTGTCTGAGTCCATAATTCTAAGACAAGTATGATATCATGTCTGTCGAGTCTGCCTTTGCTTCGTAAGATAAGTGTTTTTTTATAGTGTTTTGCAAAGCCAGACAAGGGACCAAAGACACTTGAGAATTTTTCATACCTCTCCAAGCGTACAGAGCTCCATGATTATCCACACTGGGTTTTCTGTAATAACTCCAATGAGCTTCACAATGTGAGGATGATCAAACTGACGCATTGTTACTAAAAGGAGAAAAAAACAGATTGTATGCTACAGAAAATTTGGGGTTTTTAAACAATAAAATAGTTCTATCCTGACTGAGCGTAACACTGAGCATAACACGAGCATGTTGACCTATCAATTCAGTGTATGACCTCTTAATCTGTGCCTTTCTACTGAAAGAAGAGGAGGAAGGATAAAACTGAATAATTCAATGGCTGAAAAAATGTATGTTAGTTTATGACACAGACACACAACCTCAAGTAACGACTATGCTCACGTCTGATCTTATTTTCTATGTGCTTAATTAACTTTTCAGTCTCAGCAATGCAGTCAGTAGATTTCATGCACTAAGACATAGAAATGCTTATTAACATTCCGGGGAGGTATGTTTGTTAGGTTAAAAGAAATATCAGTCCTCTGATTGTATTTTCATCTCCCAACACACACATGATGAGCATTATTAATTTAATTTTACAGTACTCTCTCTTTTGTATTTACAATGTATAGTGTCAACAGAAATACACAACAATTACTAAACTGGCAAGTCTGCTTTAGTTCACATATAACTTGAGAAGAATAATCCCCTTCCCTCCATAATGTGCCTTTTTATAAACCGTAAACTAGAATAGTAGGCTTTTCTATTCTAAAGAGCTCTGAATTCTACTTCTGCACCCTAGTTCACAGCAGTTGTATAACCAATACACCCTGCAACATTAAGTATCCCAAGAGAAATGCTTGGATAATGCTACTTGTATGACTTAATCTTGTAATAGTTCACTAGCATATTTTACTGCACAGAAACTTAAATGGGCCAACTTAAGAACATACTCTTTAAAATATTCATGTGTTATGAAAACTATGAAATCAATAGAACAAACAACCCTATCAATGATGAAGCTTAACACATTAATGAAAAGGAATAAAGAATGAATGGTGACACATCAAGTCAAGAAAAACTGGTAGAACACTACATAGAATGGAATTCGATTCCTAAATCACTGACTTCTCCTCATCCCTTTTGAAGTAAAGGGAATTTCAGAATGCATACATTATGAAAAAGTACACATTGCTAAACCAGTTTACCTGAGCCTGGATGAGAAGTAATGGCACACTATTAAAAATTTCTTCTCAGAAACAGTGGTAATGCATTGGCACAGCCAGTCAGGGAAGTGGTGGAGCCGCATCACTGGAGGTGTTCAAGAAAAAGGCAGATGTGACACTGAGGGTTCAGTGCTATGGTGGAGATGGGTTGACAGCTGGACTAGATGACCTTAGAGGTCTTCTCCAACGTTAATGATTCTATGATTGCACCATTAAAATCTTGGTAAATGAAGTGTATATTAAAAACATAACACCTATTACTTATTTTTAGACTTCTCTTATACTGATCTAACTCAATGAAATATACATTTCTTCACTGATGTAAAATGAAGCAGGAATACAGTTATAACTATTAAATCAATGGAAAAGAAATTAGCACAAGTATTTTGATACTTCATACGGCCTTATCAGTTTTAAATGTATTTCATTGCTGGAAAGTATCCTCCAGATACTAATTTTATCAGTTGTACCTCACAAACTCAAAAATTCATTTTGCCATCCAGCTTCAAAATAGGTATGAGGAAGATTCAGTTTCCAGAAGGAATGAATAGCTTGTGGAAAGGAGCAATTTACAACAAAAAAAGTGGAAGAACAATAAAAATCTACAAATCCCATGCAGTTTATATGGTAGCATATACAAATGTCTCAATCGTAACACGCTGCTATGCAAGAGTAGACAGGACTGAAGAAACAGATGTTACTCACTGAAACGTCTTCTTTCGTGTGGAAACATTCAATCACTAATGTTGGAATAGATAATCTTAGCTAGTCCAACTGTCAACCCATTACCATCATGCCTACCAAACCATGACCCCAAGTGCCACCCCTACCAAGGACAGACTCCACCACTCCTCTGGGCAGTCTGTTCTAATGTTTGACCACTCTTCCTGAGAAGAATTTTTTCCTAATATCCAATCTGAACCTCTCCTTGTGCAGGTGTTTCTCCTTCCAAGAATCAATCCTAAATCTTTTCAGCACTGGAAAAATCACCAGAAAAAACTAAAATGCCCGAACTACGAAATCAGTATGATTTATACTACTAATAAGTACGATCTTTCCGTCATACTTCAAAGTTCTGAATTTGCAAAGCTTTTGTTTATGTATGCATTACTAAGGAAAAAAAAATATCTGAAGCTTTTTAGCAAAACGGCCAGCTCTGGCTAGGTGCTGGATTTGGGCCCTTTAGAGAATGCTCTTACAAACAGTGAGGCAATATCTCAGAGTTTGCAAAGGCGAAACGTAATGGATTGGAATTACTATAAAAAAAGAAGAAAAACAGAAAAATGATTAAATCAAACTTGTAAAGCACTATTTATCTGCCTACAATACTGGTGTTTCCTAATCAGTCGAGCACAAGAGTCTAGTAAAGTGGCATTAAATTACTTTCTACACTGTAATTACTTTCTACATGTACAGACAGCTGTCTAACTTTGACTGCTGAGTTATTCCTAAAAACAACAGTATTTACTTTTCCAAAGCTAGACAAGTAATTGAAAGAATTACAGCAATTTAAGAAAAAATATGACATTCCAAAATAATAAGCCATTAGCTACGAACACATTTTCTAAACAATTAGAAAAAAAAAATGAACAAAAAGAATATGAAGTAGAGAGCACATTATAACGTCTGGCTATAAGTAATTACTTTAATGATATAACACAATACCTTCACAAGACACACAGACACAACTGTGGATGGTAATAGGCAATATTTGCTTGTAAAGCCAAACCTTACAGAACTCAACAACTACAACACTTCTATGGAAGTTTTCTGTTAGTATTTTCCTTAAAAAAAAGTTCTCCTCACATTTCAAAGATGCTGTTTGAGGACTGCGATATTTTCAGGCAAATGTTTAAAAAACTGGTTTATTAAGTTCTGAAATTTCAGAACAGATATATATTTGATGTAACATCTTAGCAACTTAACGAGAACAACCACCTGATGTAAAAGGTGGTGTAATACACTGATACAAATGCTACTACATTAAAAAAAATATTAAGAAGGAAATTGGAGATCAGATTTTTGACACCCCAAAGCCAGTTCTGAAATCTTCCAGGAGTCAGATATCACTGCTGAAATTTGGAAAGCCAAATAATCCACATATAATCATATACAAGGGCAATGCCAAGATATAAAGCAGTTTTCCTGGCATATATTGCAGGAGAGAACAAAGCCCATACTATGCATTAATAAACCAAACTAGTATCAGAAATCTCTGGCACAGATGGCTGCAAAGTCCAAGGACCATTTACAGAAGCTGATAATGTAATACTCACAGGCTTCTTGTAGGAACTTTTCTCTAACGCTGTCTGAGGTGCAGTTTTTACACGTTTTGATTGCTACAGCCATAGCTGGATTTTCCTGGAAGAGATTTAAAAACAACTGAAACACAGCCCACATAAAATTAGGTCCAAAATTCTAATGAAACTGATTTAGAGAAAGAGAATATTAACTAGAATACCTTTAGTTAAGAAATTAATTTTGAAAGCATCAGTGTTAAAATATTATTATAACCAAGACACTTAGTGTGCTTTTACATCTAATTAAAATTTTATCTGTTTTAAATTACGCTAATTCGTACAAAAATTCTGACAGAAGATGATTAAGCGTGCAGTGCTGTAAATGTTCCAGCACTACAGAAGATTAGAATAGAAGCACAGTTAGCAAAAGCAAAGGGAACAAGTAGATATATGCCTGAAAAACACACTTGGCTTCTGCAAGCAACTTGGAAAGCCAAATAAAGGGCTTTTTGTGGCTTTTTTGCAGTGCAAAGACCAGCTATAATTTTTGACTGACTCAAATCCTTCATACAAAGCAGACTGCTAACAGGATACATACTAAGTCAGCTTTTCAACTGAATTCAAACTACAAAGAGAAGATTTTATAAATTAGCTTCACAGCCAGTTACACCAAGAGCTTAAAGCTGAGTTTAACAGAACACGTGTATTCCAAAGCAGCAACAGATTCGAGCATCTGATTGCTTATCCTCCGAATACAGAAAAATGAGAAGCTCTCAGACAGCCCAAAGGAGGCCTCCTGGCTCAGGAGGAGGCTTTCATCTTATCTTCCTTTGGTGCGTCTTACAAACACTCCGTTCTAAGTAACAGACAGCACTGAGGACTCATAAGAGCGTTTCTTTCCTAGAGAAGCTCTAGGCATTCTGTCTTCAGAAGGATTCAAAACGCCACAATTTACTTGGAAAATGGTATATTTTTTAAGTTTAAATCACTATTTGGCAAGTGCAGAACCTGCATAATGAGCTGGAAAGCTCACGTACTGCTGGCTCTTACAAGAATAGCTCTGCATTAAGTTGCAGCAGAAGCTGCTCCATCCACGAGGAGCTCCATCTGCTCCAGCACAGCACATCCCCACTGCTGCATCTCAGGCTCAAGCTTCACTTTGACAATTCTTAATGAACTGGAAAAGCAGGTGAAGTGTTTTAAAATTAATCCTGATCAAGGCCTGACAAAGGATTAACGAGTTCCCAAAAACTGCAGCTCTGTGGAGAAGCACTTGGTGCTCTGGAGGATGAAAAGCTGGACATAAGCCAGCCTGGAAGGTCAACAGTATCCTGAGCTGTACCAAACAAGAGGTGGCAGCAGGGAGAGGGACGAGGTTGTCCCCCTTTGCTTTGCCTTTGTGATGCCACATCTGGAGTACTGCGTCCAAGCCTGGAGTCTCCAAGAAAGCCCTGTGGAGAAGGACCTGGGGGTCTTGATAGATGAAAAACATGAGCCAGCAATGAGCACAACAAAAGCAAGTGTAGAGTCATGCATCTGGGGAGAAATAATTGCATGCACACCACGGTACAGGTTGGGGGATGACCTGCTGGAGAGGAGCTCTGCAGAGAGGGACCTCCTGGTGGATGACTGGTTGGCCATGAGCCAGCAGTGTGTGGCCAAGAGTGCCACTGCCATTCTGGGGTGCATTAAAAAGAGCGTGGCCAGCAGGTCGAGGGAGGTGATCCTCCCCCTCTACCCTGCCCTGGTAAGGCCTCATCTGGAGTACTGTGTCCAGTTCTGGGCTCCCCAGTACAAAAAAGACAGGGATCTCTTGGAAACAGTCCAGCGGAGAGCCACAAAGACGGTGAAGGGCCTGGAGCGTCTTTCCTATGAGGAAAGGCTGAGTGATCTGGGTCTGTTTAGCCTTGAGAAGACTGAGAGGGGACCTGATCCAGATCTATAAATATCTAAGGTGTGGGGTCAGAGTGGCGAGGTCAGACTGTTTTCAGCAGTGTGTGGAGATAGGACAAGGGGAAATGGCCAGAAACTGCAGCATAGAAGTTCTGCACCAATGTGCGCAAGAACTTCTTTATGGGGAGGGTGACGGAGCACTGGAACAGGCTGCCCAGGGAGGTTGTGGAGTCTCCTCTGGAGATATTCAAGACCCACCTGGACACCTACTTGTGCGACCTGGTGTAGGGAACCTGCTTTGGCAGGGGGGTTGGACTCGATGATCTCTGGAAGTCCCTTCCAACCCCTACGATTCTGTGATTCTGTGAAAGTGCCCTTGTGGCTTGCAAGGCAAATGGTATCTTGGGCTCCATCAGAAGAGGGGTGGCCAGCAGGTACAGGGAGGTGATTGTTCCCCTCTCGTCTGCTCTTGTGAGGCCCCATCTGGAGTACTGTGTCCAGGTCCGGAGCCCCCATTGCAAAAAACACAGGGAGCTGTTGGAGAGGGTCCAGAGGAGGGCCACAAAGATGATCAGGGGGTGGAACACCTCCCCTGCAAAGACAGGCTGAGGGACCTGGGCTTTTTCAGTCAGGGGAAAAGAAGGCTGTGGGGTGATCTCACTGCAGCATTTCAGTACCTAAAGAGAACCTACAGATAGGAGGGGAATCAACTCTTTGAAAGGGTAAATAATGGCAGGACGAGGAGAAATGGTTTTAAGATGAGGGAGGGGAGATTTAGGTTAGACATCAGGGGGAAATTCTTTACAGAGAGAGTGGTGAGGTGCTGGAACAGGCTGCCCAGAGAGGTTGTGGATGCCCCGTCCCTGGAGTTGTTCAAGGCCAGATTGGATGGGGCCCTGGGCAGCCTGGTCTAGTATTAAATGCGGAGGTTGGTGGCCCTGCCTGTGGCAGGGGGGTTGGAGCTTCATGATCCTTGAGGTCCCTTCCAACCCTGGCCATTCTGTGGGCCCTGGGCACAGAGATCTGGTGGGTGGTAACCCTTCCCAGGGCAGACGTGTTGGAACTGGGTTGAAACTTTCTTTTTTGCATAAGACGACAGAAAAATGAGGATCCAAAAACAAACTGGTAACACTTGTATAGCAAACAGTAAACACTATTTTAAATGACTCGTTTAGCTTAATTCCATAGTAAATAAGCCTTCACAGACAGTTTTATTAGAATTGCTTGCACGTGAACATTAAGATCCTATATACATGCCTAACTTTTCATACAGTATGCTATATACATGCTGCTTTCTGGTATTTCTTAAATATTTAGTAGCAAGTAGCCTTGTAGAAGATGTGGTTGCTATTCAACCAATAGAGTAAGAATCTGACAAGTACAACAAACAGGGATCAATGAGATTTTCAAATTGGAATTTGAGCTAGCGGAATAAGATGTGAGGCATCTCCCCCATGTTTTTACATGTGAGCTGAATACACACAAAGATGGAAAAGCAATCATGTCATTGTAACTGATTTTTCTACCTGCTCTATCATTTCTTCTAGACATTTAACTATAGTCTATGATTATTACATCAAAATGTAATGATACCTTCCTACTTTCGCTTTGCATATTTGATTATCTTAGATGCGGTAATAATTTCATTAATAAAAGTAATTAGTAGGTAACATTTATAGAAAGCTAACTAGGTACATGATGACTTAACAGAATCTATTTTCCTATTCAAGAAGAATGAACATTTACAGAACAGCTCCAAGAAAAGAGGTCTATCACTGGTTTTACAGAGCACTACATTTATCCACTTTGCTCCAAGTTCACTGCAACGTTCTTCCTTGAGCACTCCTGTTAAGTTGCCCAGGGTTAAATAAAAATAAAGACTGATTCTAATACAAGGTATAACAGAACTGTTTTTCTGAACAGAGGTATAATGAAATATCTAACATCTGTATGATATATTTGAACACTTATCCCTATTTTGAAGTATCGCATTAAATATGTATTTATTTAACCCCACACATGCTTGGGATGTTAATCAGTTGTTTCTGGGAAATAATGTTTCCAAAGCCAGAACTCAGCTGTTGTACATATGAATTATAACTTCATCTACAGAAATTCCAGACACCAAAGTTCTTGAGTTGAGAAATAAGTTTTCATTTTACAGTTGCAGACTTAGTTCCTTATTATAATTGGCTAAAGTTAAATAATTTTACAGCTTTGTCTCTATTCTACCCCACTCCTCCAGTCCCCAATTCAATTCTTCATCTATATAAATTATCTTCATCTTTGTCACTGAAGTCTGTATAACACATAAACGCCAGCCTGAAGTTCCTGAGTGCCACTGACCAAACTGGTTTCAGTGAGGTGACTAGTGGACATTGAGGTCTGGCTGGATCTGCATTTATTTTGTATCTTTTCTTGGAACAAACAGTAATAACATACTAACATACAAGTCATAGAGCAAGAGAGAAAGATGCTTACCGCAAAAACAGATGTTTTTATTGCCTCTGTTGTAGGCTACTGCTTTTTCAGCATAAAAGACTAAAGCTTCTCCCCTATATTTCATCAGAGAAGTTACATTACTTGATCCTGACCCAACTGGCAGCTTCTGCACTGAATGCTGAATCAAAATCCAACTCAGGTTTAACATCTCCAGATACTATTTCAAACTTCAGAGAAGGTTCTACAGCACCAAATACTCACTAGTGGAGTATGGCCAGAGGTATATGTGCATATCATGCTTGGACAAACTCAAAATTAAGAAGAATGTGTGCAACTAGGTTTAAAAGCAGTGAGTTCCAATTCTAGTGCTGCCAGTGGTTTTGGTAGGGGTCTGAACAGTTTACCTGGCATTTCTGATTCACTTTCTTATCTGTAAAAAAGAGGAATCACTCTAGAGCTACTATTTTAGATATCTGAAAAATGAAAAATATGTTCTGCATGGGGATTATTCCACTAAATAAACCACAGAATCAACGTTTGCTTGTTCTGGAAGGCATATGTGGCACACGTTTATTTATTTTAACTTGAAAGCTTTTCTTTTTAGCTTATTCTTTTGTTTCAGAAGTGAAGCTTACCGGACTCATGTAAATTCCTTGGTGCACATCTCCAAATTGTCCTTCACCAATGCAGCGCCCCAGTTCAATTCTCTCCCTTTGAATTTCATAATCTCTGGCTATAAGAATATAATGCACTTAAAATATCAGATCTCTGAGGAAAGGCAAAGGAACAATCCACAAGATACCAAACTCAGTCACTCCAGTGTCTCACAAATGAATAACTAAGATTAACATACGCTGCACACCAACCTATACAAATGCTGTATACACAGTGGAAACCTCTTAAACAAAAGTTTGAATCAAAGCAATGAAAAAGACAATGTGAACTGTAATTTCTTAAATTAACTATTATGCATTATTTATTTCAATACAATAGAGATAATTAAACCGTTCTTGCTAGTAGAAGACAAAACATAAATAGCCTAGGACAATAGAGATGATAATAAATACAGCCCTAGCTCACATGCTTTTATGAGTTTAAGAGAAGTCCACTATGTGGTATTTTAGATCTTGGAACCATCAAATTAGCCAGGAGAATTTTTAAAGAGGTAACTGCAAGAAAAAAAATACAGAAACAAAGAGCATGGCAAATAAAGATAGAAGGAAAGAGCAAAATTTTGAGTGCAATACACCTCCATCAGTCTGTAATTGAAGTAAAATTGATAGAATGCATTGCAACTTATACAATTTTAATAACTTCACTGCTAAGACTGAGAGGTTTTCTGATGAAAATGCCTCAGTACTTTGGCAAAAATATTTAAGCAATTGCAAGTGAATTACTTCATTTGCAATTTAATTTCTAGCAGACATGGAAAAATATTTCTGGAACAGCAGAAAAACATGTACAGTATATGTTTTCACCTCTACTTCTATTATTCAGAGAAAAAAATAAGCTACCAGCTTAAGACTTAAGGACTGATTTTTTGCACTTATTAACACTACAGAAATAACAATGTCTAGAGATGGATAACACTATGATAAATGCCCTTTTCATTTCTTGCTTTAAGTACTGCATTTTCCTCTTTAAAATCCCAAAGCTAGTTGGTTTAACTATAGATAAATAATGTTTATTAAATGAAAGTGAATAAGAAAAATTCCACATCATTCCAAACTGCAAGCATACAAGGATGGGTAAAGGATCTCCTGTTACCTTCATCTATTCCATAGCTTTCTGCAGTGCAATTAAGAGAAAGATCAAATGCTTACTTAGAGCTTCTTAAAATCAAGGACAAACATTTTTTAAACATTTTAAAAAAATGAAGAACTATACAGATGCAGTTTTAACTTTACATTGGCAGAAGTCACAGGTCTGTTCTTGTGATCTGAACTGCCCCTGCCCTGGGACAGCTGAACACTTGAACCCACTTCAGTGCAGCACAGCACTTAATGCTTGTGTCAACAGCCCATCCAACAGGCTTTGAACTGAAGGCATAAACTGAAGTGTTCAGAGTCATCCAGTGCTGGACCACAAGTAATTTGTTCAATGGAAATTCAAAAGAAAATTATTACAAAATAATAATTAAAAAATCATAGAGTTAATATGTTAAAAAAAATTAAAGGATTTAGGTTATCATAGTACTTTTTTAATCCTGCAATTATTTTAATGGAATTATGTAATAACTTACAAGACATTCAAAGCACACTGTTTATTTCTAGAAAACATATATTCTTGCTTTCCAAATATTTTCCACAGTAGCATATTATACAATAAACACTGAAGTGATTATGAAACACTTCTGTCTCACGAAAACCTGAAGAAATCCCTACACACAAGTCATTATTTTCCAGCAGAACACGCTATCAGCTCAGCACCATCCTCCCCTGTCACACCAAACCAACCTGGCATTTCTGTAGGCATTCTTCAGAAGCAGACAGAACCAACTGTTTAATGTTAGAGAAATCCCAGGCTGCCATAATATTTCTGTAGGTTGCAGATGTAACTTAAAATCAGCATACGGACTTCTATGTGAAATTAGCTGACTCTGACAGTTCAACATATCCTAATTCAAATATTCCACGAGAAAATCCTGGCAGTGGCCAATGCATCATCTTTTTTTTTTTTTTTTATTTCAAAGATGAAGACTCAGAAGAACTTTTATCTTGAAAAAAACTGCATGTGGTACAAATGACTTTGCTCTAGAGAATAGTATGTGTGATGCAGAGCAAGGATCAAGGATGGGATACAGTTATAGAGCAGTATCCAAAAGCATTCCAAATTCCTTGCCTTTATGACAGAAATCTCACACATTCTTTATGCACTGTGTTCAGCATCACAGTACAAAACAAACCTCCATTTTATGACATTTTGAGACATAAAAGGGAGCTCACAATGAAGTCACTGGCAACACAAGCTATGACAGAAGTTACTTCGTTTCATAACCTGAGCTTAAAAGGACACTGAAGCTAGGAAGCTTTCAAACATCATCGAGCAATACGTGTGCAAAGAAAATATTCTTATGGCTGAAATGTAAGATTCAATCCCAAAGAAGCTGCTGGGAAGAAAAGTTCCAGTTAACATACTTACTTGATGGCATTGTATAAGTATCTTCTTCATCTATAATCTCTGCATAGTCATCTGTTTCTGTAAAGGGAGGAATTAAAGAATTTCGGGAAAAACAGATGAAAACACTTCTCCAAAACAGTATCTCCAATGTATCAAAGCTGGTAAGTCACAATCCCCCCACTTCAACAGTGCTGGGACACATTTACAATAGCATGAATAAAACTTGCTCATGCATAATTTATGGCATGATAATGACCTCAAGTGCCAATTATGCTACGTCACATAGATGCATTCAACAAGGAACAAAAGAAAGTTTCATTTGTATTCAGAAAAGTGTAAGTTCTCTAACTGAATCCAATCCAAACTGTTGACTCCAAAAGAAAATCCTTTTAAGAGCAAATTCGACCACAGAAAAAAAAACACCAACAAAAAAAACATTATTAATGGATTAAATTGTTTTATCTTCAATAAAGTGTGATCAATAGTTTGCTAATATTTATGTCAAACAAGCAAAACAGATGGTAAAGATGTGCCAGGGCAGCATCTACTTACTGTCACTGCAGCAAGGTGAGCAATTTTCTATACTATTTCCTAAAGAAAAAGATCTTTTCTTCTTGTACTACTCTCAGTTTTGTTTAGAAGAATTGCTGTCTCAAATCAGCATCCTCAGAAAACATCCAGCTCTCAAAGTTACCAGAAAAACAACAGCATACTTCTTCCTCTGTTTAAAACTTATGACTTTTATATCATCAGTTCTCACGACAGGGTAACTGGTGACATGTCCTGTCCTACCAGTGGCTCCTTCTGTTCCTCTGAAGAGCTTCCAGCTCATGTAAGTCATTTCCTAATGGTCAGAAATTCTCCCAGGGTTTACAAACCCATCCACAGCAGTGAAATAATCAGTCACTGCCAGGCAATTCTATTCTCCAACTTTAATTGCATAGAGGTTCTCAAAATTGAGTAATTTCAAGTCCAGTATGAGGTTTTAACAGCTGTTTTCAGGTGATTACATATTGGGCTGCCTCTGAAAGGCACAAATCGCTTCTTCTGCCCTGGAGCATATGTACAATCCTACAGCTCCTCTGCATCATTTCTACAGCCGTGGTTTCTGAATGGTGAATGGGACAAAGCAAAGGTTGCGATGATCCCTTTTTGTGGCAGCCCTCAGTTCAAACAAAGCCAACTCTGACAGCAGAGCAATGCTCCTAAATATTATACAGGTACACAAACAAGAACAGATTTTCAAACGAACTCAATATTCAGCAACTAGAAAACTTGAGGTTACCTATAGTATTTGAAGTTCAACACACTTCAGCAATTAAATATAGATTTATGGTCTTAACTTTACATTACTAACACAAAATTAAAGGTTTTTTTCTTCCAAACCCCTGTAGAAATTTCCTATCTTGTAAAAACAGCAAATTTTACTCTTTAAATTTGTGTTAGGCAATTTCTGTTTACAATACAGCAAAACAGAATCACCAAACCAAAATCCAATGAATTATAAAGACAGTGCACAAGTGTGAACAGGCAGCACACTAAGGGGCGCTAATCATAAAATCACAGAATGGCCTGGGTTGAAAAGGACCACAATCATCATCTGGTTTCAACCCCCCTGCTATGTGCAGGGTCACCAACCACCAGACCAGGCTGCCCAGAGCCACATCCAGCCTAGCCTTGAATGGCTCCAGGAATGGGGCATCCACAGCCTCCTTGGGCAACCTGTTCCAGTGTGTCACCACTCTCTGAATCTCTAATCTCTTG